ATCGATAGGACGCGATATTTTTCCTTGACTGGCTTGCTTTTTCATTGGATTTTATCGTTTTTTCTTCTGTTTCTTTTTAGTTTTCATGTTGATTAGACTTGATTAATTAAAATGACTCCTCCTATATAAACGACGATCAAGACCGCACTAGAATTGAAAAGAGCGGCCAGCCAATTCAAGTAATTAAAGGACTCCCTACCTCACAAATTGCGCGCTCCAATCTTCCATCGCAATCCTGCGATAGGCGGCGGGTGCAGCGTGTGCGACGCCGTGTCAGGGGAGAAGTTCCCGGACCCGGGTGTGAAATACGCTTTGTGAAAGAGTTAGACTTCGAAGTCTCATGGTAAGTATTACCCCTCCTTGGTTAGGTGTATCATACGAACGATGATGAGATCGTAATGGTGAGTGAAAAATAGTGGTAAAATCTGACAAGGACAGGTAAGTATAACCAATCGCCAATGATTGGGAAGCTCAAATGAGACAATCTCATCATTACCATTTGTTAACGATGTATATATAGGCATCTCTGTAAGGCGGAATCTGCTAAAAATTGATACAGCTTAGTCATTTTACCCCTACGACATTTGAACGAAATATGATTCAAAATTATAACATTTCAAAAAATAAAATATCCAAATATCATATTCTTCCGATACAGTGAGAGGCTTTGAAAGGCAAAACCATTCAGGAGATGTTTGAGAACAGCCTGGTGAGCGATGACCATATCTTGTCATTGCACAGCTTGGCTAACAAAGAGCAATAGTATGGCCAGTGGCCAGGAAAAGTATGCTTGCGAGCTTCCCTCCTCCAAAATCCGAAATCATTCTTTGCAGCAAGCACTACCATAAAATCCTTTTCAACGAAAAATTGTTAACAGCCGAACAAATGGAACGGTTATAGTCTGGACCAAGAGAAACAACCCCACAATAAGTGAAAAGCTACGTCAGAAAGCCAATCATCTCGTTATGAGAAGTTTCGGGCTACTTTAGAAATAAGTCAAAAGCTTCTACGATAATATTGGGAAGCGCATTGAGGAGATAAGCTGATTGGCGTCTTACCAATGGCTCCTAAGAACCTCACTGCGATAATGAAATACGAGAAGCAGACTATGATACAGAAGATGATGGTCGAGAAAGTCTTGAAGATTGAAGACCCACTGGTAAGGACTAAATGATTGTCAAAACTGTTCAGAGGCTCTGGTCACTGAAAATAGTCAAAACTTCAGCACATAGCAGGTGTTCCATGTAAGAATATCTGCTATGAAAGTAGTCATGCATGGAGATGGTCCACATGGTTCACATGGACCCCATTCATGGCCGCATGAATGACCTTTCCCATTCGGTGACCTCAGACCATCACCATTGGGAGTAACCATGGGAAATGCGCTCAGCCACAAAAGCCTTGTTGATGGTCCTTCTGATGAGTGGTGAAACAATGAAAAAAAGAGCACGGACTTTACCCATTCGACGGAAAGATCTTTGAAACAAAGGAAGATGGCATCATGAAAACCCCAAAGTTTCTATATCTTCGATGGATTTCAGGAAAATGGCTTGAAGGGCCTGCTGTCTATGTGAATGTACGGTATCAAACAGTTGCTTTGATGTTTGCGCTTTATTTTTACTTGTTCCAAGTAATTTCTGGAATTATTCCAAAGTTTCACTTATGAAACTGCGCAAGAGTCAATTTCTTTCATTGCAAACTGTTGTTCTATTGACAAATGTATGCCTCTATTTATGCTAATAAATACTTTTGAACTCGATTACTCAGCAGTTACGTTTGAAACAAACGAATGTTTGAGGATGATAAACGGACCATTTCTAGTCGATGAGACTTGCCTGGGTGGTTGAGTAGAGATAATCTAGGCAACACCTTTTCATCCATAAGCCATGGTGGCCAGTATCGTGGCAGGAACATCGTCTCATCACGTCTGTAACAGTGATACATTCGTTTACTGTAACAAACTTTTCCTGATCAAACCTTTAACTATGCGAGATGGTTTTCCTACCTAAGAATTGAGGGCACACGGCGTTTTTCGTAAGAAAATTGCCTATGTGGAAATCGCCTTCATGGCCCTCTGGTGACGATCGATTCAGTATTCAGACATTATAGTCACTGTATCCTAACCTTGTTTATAATTACTGGTCTGTCAATAGTAAATGAAAATTATAAACAAAACAAGTAATCAGAGCTGAAGAAAAACAAAATGAAATTAAAAACTACTAGTCACGGACGGAATCAAACAGAGAGAATACAGAGACGATGGGATTTTCTGTATTTTCTGTGTTGTCTAGCTCTGTATTGTTCCCTATCATGTTTGCTAATGGGGCACCTTGTGTGCAAAATAAATAAATAAATAAACAATAAACAAATAAAGAATTCAAGCGCTACCTGGAAACCTTCCTATGCTAAAAGTAATTTCATCCAGTATTGCTACCAAAAACCTTTCTTCCAATGTTTCGGAGTAAGAAATCCTCCACAAATGTGAAGTGCGAGAATAACAAAGGAAGGGCAATGAAATGGGAAGGAAAGAAAATAATTGAGGGAGTAAGTAGGTGAGTGGTAGAAGGAAAGAGAAAAACGGGTTGAAAAGGAGGGTAGCCTGACGGCTGGAGACCCAATGGTTAAGAGTTTGTCCATGAGAATAGGATCTGTTGGAAAGTTCGATGTAGTGCAATCCACGGGGCGATGGGTGATAAAAGCCTTGGAAATTGATGTAAGAAAGCACGAAATTGTAGAGTTAGCCAGCATACAGTAAGTACTACTACGAAATGTACTTTTTGCGTTGCCTCGCACAAAAGACAGTGTTTTGACGGCACCATTCAGTCACATAATTAATTATATTTTTTATTTTGTCTCGCGCTTTAAATAGTTCACACTATGCTCCTATATAAGCGTCTGAAAATGAGGCTATGTCCACATACATCACCTTTACACTAGTCAGGTCGCCCGGGTCACGCTGTGTCTCATTCCTTATTTTTACAAAATAGCTAGAAAATGTAGTCAGGGGGGGGGGGG